CAATATGGTTCATGGGGTCATGAAGAGTCGGACACGACTTAACGACTGAACAACAACAAGATTTTTATGGATTCTCATGCACACTTTAACAAAAAGAAATTAAAAAAGAAGATACAAAGGATGCCACAAACATAAGGCTGAAAAAGATAAGTATGGATTCCTAACAGGTGATACAAGCTTAAGCCATAGCAAAAAGATTGGTTAATCTTTAAAGGAAGGAAACTTAATTAAGGCCCCTCAGCTACCTGACACATCAGTGTTCCTCCAACAGTTGCCAACAAATTACAATGCTAATATGAAAAATGGGGTGAATTCCTAAATACACAGGAAGTAATCATATTCCCTATAATTAATTTATGTTAATGTTATTTCAATCAAAGTTGCTTTTTGGTTATGATCATCTCAGCATTTTTCTCCTGGCTCCAGCTACTTCTTGAGTTGCCTCCATGTTGGAAATGTTTTACCCCCCCGTTTTAGAGTGCCAGAAAACATATCATTGTCTTACTTCCCAATTCAATAGGCTTCTGACCCCAAGACCATATTCGACGACAATCTGAAAGCAAATAAAACCACAGCACACTTACCTCTGGCCACAGAGGGATCCCATTTCTGAGCCAGCGGTAAGTTGGCCTGGGCTTTCCAGAAGCTCTGCATTCCCACCGAAGTTGATCCCCGCTGTCTAACTGGGTATCGTTCAGCCTCTCTGTCCAATGTGGATATGCTGCCAACAATAACAACGAAGACAGAGGATCTCAGTGATTAACATTATGGGACTTTTGAGTGATACTTTAAAGACTCAGGTGATCAAATATTACTGATGATAAGGAAGTAGAATGGGTGGCAGTCCTGCACATTTTTCCAGCAACGGGCCAGATACAAGCTGATCAATCAGAAGTGACTGGACTAAATGAGGTAACAAAGGAACATCTTTTGCAGTGAAACTCAAAATGTCCTGGCATGACTGGGGATGGTGTTGATTAAATGTCTTTGGGTGGTAACATCATTATTGCAAGCAAGGGCCAGAAGAGCAAAGATATCATCACTACATGAGTTATATGGATGCTGTTAACTGCGATGTGGATTTCAATCCAAAAATAGCCTATTCCATGCTGCTTCAACTGTGTAATGCAAAAAGGCCCCCGATTTTGTCATGCTGCCTTTGCACACTGAGAATTGCCCTGCTGGATTGGCATATCTGATGCCAATGGGAAGCTCCAAAGTAAGGCAGGAGAACAATAGCACCTATTGGCAAATATTATGGTGGACTTAATTGAGTCCAGTTAGTGACTGTTGGTAAATTTGCTAGCTTAAGCAGAAACAGGGATAAGTGGAACTCTAAAAGTGAAAAAGCAGGAAATGTGCCAGTACTTAGATACAAGACCATTGACAGCCAGCTCCATCCAAGCCAGGTTGTTGCATTATTAGGTACCTAAAGTCTGATTCCCCCTTTAGGATATTCTTATTTAATCATAATATTAATATCACATTCCAGAGTAAGATAAGCTCAACTGCTCTAAGAAGGTTAGTTGAACTGAAGGAGGAGGCCGTGGCAATGGGGTGAAATGTAGCAGTATGGCCACTTCACTTTGCTTTTCCACATAGTGCTTTAGCTTCAAAGGATGTTTTGCATGAACTTTATCAAAGGAAATCACCCTTCAAAGGTTTGCATATGCTTTTTCCTTGATTTGTTATCACTTGCTTTCTTATGCATTTCCATTTTTTGTAGTTAAGAGATTTTATTCTACAATAAAAGAATGAAAAGGATCCACACATCGAAATCCTCTGTGTAAGATGGCTATTCTAACATGGAACCTGGCATCTTCATTAGGAGTTGAGATGACATTCCAATAGTTTATATAGTTTGGCCTCATTTTGTAGTAGTCAGACACAACTCCATTAAACAAAGGGGTGAATGAATTCAAGTACTTTTACAGCTTTCTCTCTCTCATTCTGAATTCATATTCTGGATCAACCAGTTATATGTTTTGACAAAACCTTTAATTCAAAAGGATGAATCAATTTGTAGTCATGTTGTCAGAGCTATCTTTATATAATAGACTGTAACAGCACTGGATGTCTTCAGCTGTAAAATTAAACCATATTTTAACATTGTGAGAGCTACTATGAGGAAAAACCTTGGCTCCTCCTGCATTCCTCCATACTCTTTTCTCTTGTGTCCCCAGACGTACAGTAGGAGCAAGATAATCAGGCATTTCCACTTATGTTTTAGATAAAATGAAGTTTACTGTGTAGCATAGTCAGAACTCTGACTGTATCAGTAAATACATTTAGAGAAAAAGAAGGCAGCTTTGTATAATTTAGTCTGAATTGGCTTTACATCAATCATAGTTAAAAATAACCATGTTTTGACCATTTAGTGACATAGCAAAGAACTGATATCATACATTATACTAAGCTCTAAAGACATCTATCAACTGTGGTTTCTGATTTAGAATATTGTGTGTACCCAGTCAATGTTCTGTGGTTAAGAAATCATGGCTTAACATGGCATGTATACTCAGTGAAGCAATGATTCATCCAAAATGGAAAGAAGAGCTTTTTCAGCATTTCATGCATAACTGGAGGAGGATATAGAGCACATAAGTCTGGAAATGGCTTGGCTCATTATTCTACCACTAAATGTTGATTTAGAACGGACAAACCAATCTAGTTTCACAGATGAATCTCTGGATTCCACCTCATTGACAAAACATTTATTTAAGAAAAAGTTCCTGCAGTCTTAACAATTTTATGTTCTGTAGAAAGCTCCAGCTATGAGGCTAACTCAAAACTCCATTCACCTTATAAGGCTTTAGCAATGATAACTGATGGTGCAAGCTACAGAATAACTATATGTTACTGATGCAAGCTGCCAAGAAAAAAAGCCGTTTCAAATGAATAAGGCTTAACTCATTAATCCAAAGCACTGAAGAGAAGGGCATTTAAATCTCTTCTATATGACATTGCAGTCTAACAGGTGTCAATGGCCTGAACATCAAGGAGTGCCAAATAAGATATCTGGTGGTGTTAGTTAGTAATTGAGAGCCAACATAGCGAAGGATCTATTTTAGGTAGAATGAAATCAATAGAGCACTTTAATAATGGTTCTTGCACTGAACTGAATTTAAAAATAAATCACATAAGCTATTTGGCCAGTCTCCAATTAGAGTTTAAGTAGCTTCAAGAAAAGCATTCCTATTCTGAGTAGTTGGCATGTGGACAACAATTAGGATAGCCTTACCTAGATAGGAATGAGGTTTGTTGAATTCTGGGATGTTGATTTCTGGGGAGATATGCACTGGTTTGCACTGGTTGTCTTATGCTGGAAAATTTCCCAGCAAAGATTAACCAATAATGTTAGAACTTATTAAGCAGTTTCAAAATCTTGCTTCAAAAATCCATCCTAAATCGTAGTAGCAAATGGTTTAGCTGCTATAAGACATGCCACTTTTTTTATGCTACCAGAGATCAACTGTGGATTACATCGATTAAAATACACAAAAGCAGAAAGCAAAATTTCATCCTTAAATAACATATGCCCTCATGTACATTCTAATAGGAACCATTCTGTGTGTGTGCCACAGAGGAAAAGAAAGAGAGCAAGAATAGGAGGATATATGCTAAGAAAGCAGGATAGCCTGCATCACATGAAGGCACTTAAAAGTCTTAAAACTTAAGAGAGAAAATGAATATAATTATGTACCTTCATATTCATTGTTTTTTTCCATGTAAGTTCACACAAACTGGAATTAATTAATTAAATCTCATGAAAAATGTAACAGTAAAGACAAATGTAAAAAATGGGTTGTATTTCAAGTAAGTCATTTGTATAATAGATTGACAAAATCTAATTTTCTGGTCAGTTGAGAAGACTGAAGCTGAAAAGGGGCTACATTAAAAAGAGAAGAGAAGAGAAGAGAAGAGAAGAGAAGAGAAGAGAAGAGAAGAGAAGAGAAGAGAAGAGAAGAGAAGAGAAGAGGAGGAGAATTTTTTGAGAAACAATAGAGAAGAAAAAAAGAGCTCTAAGGTATATTAGAAAACTGAAATTTTCTTATTCAGCTGGGAGTACAAAGAGCTCTTAAGGACTATAAAGTAAGACCTAAGTCTTCAAGTGGGCACCAGTGGACACTAATGGACCTACTAATATCTTCTTTAATGGTTGTCAAGCTTCCTATTCCAACTGATTTTTCAAAAAGATCTTTTTTAATAAATAAATATATGGAATGGAATGATAGCACATACACTCCTTCTGGGCCTTATGGAGACCCCATAGGCATTCTTAGTAAATAAAATAGTAGATTGCTGCAGTCTGATGCTTTGTTTGGAAGTGCACTGACATGCCCAGAAAAAAGAAAACACAGATCATGGATAGTATTCTGGGAGGCTAAAATGATAGTAGACAGCAATCTCACCAGTTTGCTTTCTGTTAAATGGACATTTTTGGATTGTTAATGCCCTCTGTGGAAGTTATGAAGTTGCCCATAATATGGTCTCAAGATCTGAAATATGCCTGCTAGTCCAAAAACTTTGGGGGGCCTTGAATTATTAGGAGAATTGCAGAAGAATGGGGGATTTTGAGTAACACTGATAGATTCAAAGGGAGGCCAGAAATTAGGAAATAAATCAAAGAGAAGAGAAGTCAGAATACTGACTGCAGAATATTGACTTCTTTTTCAAAAAAAGAAAAGGAAAGAAAGAAAGAAAGAGAGAGAGAGAGAGAGAAAGAGAAAGAGAAAGAGAAAGAGAAAGAGAAAGAGAAAGAAAGAGAAAGAGAAAGAAGGCTACATGATCAAAAAGAAGAAATGGGGCCATTTGCAAGAGCTTCAGAGTTAGATAGTGAAAGGATTGGCGGAAAGCATTAGTTCTATGAGCCAGATGTTCCACATTCTGCTTGACCTGAAGACATTCAAGTTAATGAATGAGAGAGCATAGTGTGTTATGGATAAATCATACTGAAGAGTATTTAAAATTGTCTCAGTTTTAAAAATGTAATTCAAATAATTGGGGTTAAAAAATCAAATGGATATTATAAATGTTTTGTTATGTCCAACAATAATAATAATAGGCAAATATTGGCAAAGCAAAAAAAAAAAAAAGATCTAAAATTGTCTCAGTCTTAAAAATGTAATTCAAATAATTGGGGTTAAAAAATCAAATGGATATTATAAATGTTTTGTTATGTCCAACAATAATAATAATAGGCAAATATTGGCAAAGCAAAAAAAAAAAAAAGATCATACAATAGAGAAATTGTTAACATAATTATGGTAATTTGCAAACATTAAACAATTTTCTAGTTACATGAAAAGCTGTTCAAGCAAAGACTTTTATCTGATAAATCAACATCATTCACCATTTATGAAAAAGCAAAAATTAATAAGACTAACCAACTCAGTCAATTGTTCACTTTAATTAAACTTATTTGAGGATATTAAGCTAGCACTGACAAGACATTCAGGTCTGGAGTGTTTTCTTGGCACAGGATTCTAAAACACTATTTGAAATAATGCAAGGGTGCTAACGTTGAAATGGGTTTTGTAGTGGCCATTTGGAATAAATTATTGGCCTTGGAGTATAGATTTTGAGGATCCCTATGGGAGATTGGATCTGCCCTTGAGGGTTAGGGGAGGTTGGGATCCTGACTCATGTTCTGCTGAGGTATTTTATCAAGGTATTCATGTCACCCATATGATTCTGTTTTTGACTAATAGATCAGATAGTTCTAATATGTTTTCTCTTTGCTTTTTATTGATAAATACAGTACAGTATGCAGATATGGACAGGTTAGAACTTCATCTGCATACTTCAGCTGATGACATTCCAGAAGTGTGGCATGAACTTACCTTAGGGCCTATCCCCTGCCTAGTTGAAGTTCTTCCCAGTCATCCTTGAATCAGTAGAAAACCGTACCAGCATGAAATTTGTCGTCCCCAGTGCTAATCCCCATCCTGCCACTATTGGCTCTGTTCCCAGTCCCTACCAGTCCCTTGACTTCCTTGAAAGAAGTGGATGACTAGATTTTATATACTTTGAGGCTGCCTTTGGCTGATGTTGGAATCAAAGGGAAGATCTACTTTAACATCAGAACAGCTACGGATGGCTTGAGCTCATGGGCTGGAGATAAGGAGAAGCAAAGTTATGGGAATAAGGCAGAAAAAAGAAACACACTCTTTTTCTGTTTTTAAGGGTCAGGTGAGAAAGGCTTTTAAAATATTTTCCAGAAACATTCATTTGAAATATTCAGGCATTCAGTAAGATAGTTTGAAAGCCACTAGTTAGGCCACAAAATTGAGCAGAGTCTGAACAAATCACTGCTGACAGGAAAAAGTAAAAAAAATAAAAATGTAGATTTGAATGAACAAAACAGCAACAGGGCCGGCCTAGCAACATCCAACAGGAAGTCATTTTTGTCACTGGTAGGGTTGAATGTCAAGCCAAGTGGCTGAGACAGATGCAATGATCATTCCAAAGTGTCAGCTGCATCAAGCAATCCTAATACATCTGGTTTCCTGCATTAGATGTGATGGGAATCAAATCAACCTGTGATTACATAAAAGTAGACAGGGCATTCCATCCATTGCCCAGAGCATCTACAGTGAACTGGATCAAATCCAGCTGACAAATTGAGCATGATTGAGGAAGATGGAAGAGCTAGTACTGAAGGATGAATGCAAATCAGAGCATTTCCCCCCAATGCCAGCTATAATCCACAAACCCAGTTTGAAGCTATCCAAAGGGTAAAGGGTAGTTGTTTACTTACAAGCTAGTCAACCTAAGGCAAGAAGAAGCTATAGTGCCCACGGCAGGCTGTTAACTAAGTTTTATTTGAAAGCTAAAACCCCCTTCATTTTCTAAAAAAAGAAAAAGAAAGTGTGAACACTCAAAGCATTGGCTAATGTTACTGCTACCAAGAGGCATAAAAGACTCACAGTGTATTTCTGCAAGATCCATAAAACCCCAACTCTTTTGTGGCAAACATGGTAACACTTCATGAAGTGTGTTACTTCTATTTTTCTCAAGCTGAAAATCTATGTGGAATTCCTCATTTATTTATGAGGAATCTGCCTGAAAAGATCATGTGTTTCTGCAAATTGTGTACAGAAAGTAGTAAAAACAGAGTTCACTGCAGAATATTTTTATCCTAAAAAATGTAGCAGAATATTTATATTCAAGATCGTTTCTCAGGGAATTAATATTAATAAACCTGTACATTAGGGAAAGATGCATGCTGAAAGGTTGCTGTGAAGCATGTGATGGAGAACATTACTTGGATCCATTCAGAGTTGGATTCTAGCTGGGTAAGTCTTACTGAATTGACTGAGGTGGGGTCTTGCCCAGTTATCTGGGAAGGGTTTTAGCCAATGAGTCTCAGGAAAGCAGACAGGGTTCTTCTGTATGTTAGGTCCTTGTCCCTCTAGCTAACTCAAGGTGACTTGCTCCTGGGTTCATCCTTGAATGAGGGAGTAGTCCCCTTGCTTTGAAAGAGATGGTGGTACAGTCACTCCTCAAGAAGCCATCTCTAGACCCAGCAATCCTAGATAACATTTCAACTGAAACTCTAGAAGGAGTTGGATGATCTGGATCTTTTTCACTTCACCAGTTTGATAACACTATTGATTTTGCTTTTTGTGACCCCTGATAAGTTCAGAAAAGGGGTGGTGTGACTTTCCTGATCCTACTTAATTTCTCAGTGGCTTTTGATATCATCAAGCACAGTCTCCTTCTGAGCCATCTTTGAGAATAGATAAGGCCCACTTTTGAATTGAAACTTCTCCTGGTCACTAATATACTAATATCATTTGGGCTACAGAAATGTGCTCCATATGGGGCTGTCTTTAAAGCTTTCTAGAAGCTTCAACTAGTCCAGAACCCAGTGAGTAGATATCTTGTTTTGCCCATAGGACACCAGTGCTTTGCAAGGTGTATTTCTTGTTGGCTGTTAGGTGAAATTCAAGAGGCTGTTCGATGCCTATATCTATGGGACTACCTTTCTCTAATTGTTTCTAACCTACCCAGTAAAACCTATCAGGGTTGGCATGTTCTGGGTCCCATCAGTGAAACAATTATGTCATCTTGTGGGACATCAAACACATGGCTTCACTGTCCACACCTCTGACATTTGAAATAACATTCATCTGAAATCTGCATGGTTTGACTCTGTTGAGCTTCAGAGAAGCCATGAAGATCTGGCTTTTTCAATGGGCCCTGATTTGTGATTTGTGAATCCACTTGGTGTATATTGTTTTATATTGTTTCCCTGATGTGGGAGGTTTGCATTTTCCATAAACGTGTGCATATTGTTGGCTCTACTTTTATCTATTTTAATTTTTTAAATCTTTGTATGCTGCCTAAAGTTGCTTTGGTTATTGATGTGGCTAATAAATTGATTAAATAAATAAATAAAATGCTGAGAGAATATTGCAAATGGAACAGGATCCTAAGAATTCTTTTTACAGATCTTTTAAAAAATTATGATAAAAATAATCTGATGGAGAAGAATACAGCCCTCCTAATGAAAAGAGTAAAACTGATCAAATTTATAGTCATCCATATATTCCTAGTAATAGCTCTTCTTTTATCAGACTGGTGAAATGAAATATAAATGAGTGATGACATGAGTGCATAAAGCTGGAAAGTTTCCATCAAACCACTGAGGGAATTCATCTGGAGCTTTGGAAAGGGACCTATCAGTATGGTGTTGAAACACAGCTCTATTATTTCTCATTATCCAACACAAAGGAAGGAACCAGTATCTTTGAATGTTTTCTAAATTTGAGGACAGTGAACAAACTAAAATTAAATTGTGACAAGATGGAGGTGTTGTTGGGAATTGGTCTTGGGGATTGAGGTTCAATCTGTTTTAGAAGAGCAGGCAGGACTACAGACTTAGAATGCTTCTTGATCCTCAACTATCACTGAATATGCAGGTCAAAGCTGTGGTGAGGAATATCTTTGCACAGTTATGCCTAGTGTACTATTTTCAACCCTTTCTGAATTTAGTTTTGTTGATAGTAATCCATACTATGGTTCTATCCCATCCTGACTACTGCCACACATTCTATGTGATCTATTTTTGAAAAGTGTATTAAGTGTAAAATGCAGAAGGTAAGTTGCTAAGTAAGAGCCAGTTTGATGTGGTGGTTAAGGCACCAGGCCAGAAACCAGGAAAGCATGGATCCTGGTTCTGCCTTAGGCACAAAACCAGCTGGGTGATCTTGGGCCAGTCCTAGGAAGAACCAATCTCATGCCACTTCTGAAACTTGGCAAGAAAACTGCAGGGATTCATCTGGGCAGTCACAGGAGTCAACAATGACTTGAAACCCCCATCCCCATCCTGCCCTCCCCAAGTTGCTAACTGGTACAAGATACAAGGATCATATGTTGCCTGAAAGGTCTGCACTAGTTGTCAGTTGCTTACCAGGCTCAGTTTAAGGTGGGGGGATGAATCTTTAAAGCAGTGAATAGAGTCCCCAGTGAGTGAGCTATAGAAGATTTCAGTTCTGATCACCATTTTATGATTTTAGTAAGTTTTAATGAGATATATTGTACTGCTTGATTATGATCTTCTTCTTTTCCTTTGTACACTGCCCAGAATTACATGGTCTAAGTAAGGTACTCATATAAATGCATCAATCAATCAATCAATCAATCAATCAATCAATCAATCAATCAGAAGAGACCATATTTTCTATTATGGACCTGTTTGGTCATGCAGATCCGGAGGAAAGGACTTTTTGAAGATGCCCTCTCTTGGCCTACTGGAGAGGTCCTTCGCTTGCATTGCTTGTTCAGCATTTAGCATTTCACTATGCTTTTAATAGCATACATTTTATATTTTTAATCTTTAGCATTGTGCTTTACATTTGTGTTAATTGACTTGAGCCTTGTCTGAACACAGCAAGGGGGTGTAAATCAGTTCAATAATGTGTGCCTCTGCTGAAAGGGTAGAAATGAGAATTGACTCATCCAAGTGAGTAGCCATATTTAATTCTTTATTGCCCTGGTTCAGCCATCTATTACCCACTACACCCTCTTCCCATTTCAAAGAGATGAAAAGAGGGTTTCATTTGGGAAAGGAAGCAGCAGTAGAAGACAGTGCTTAGGAGATGTCCCTTGGGGCTTAGGAGGAGCCTATTGTTCTCATCCAAAATGACATATGCTTTCCAGCAAAACTATTTCTGGCTGAAATGCACCCAGAGTTAAAACAGATTCCACCAAATGTCAGGGGTGCATGTCTGAATGTACACATTCAAGCATTCAGGCACGTTAACACTTGGTAAGAGAATGATGCTGCTATGTGCAAGAGATTAACTTCAAAACATACTGTATACTTGCAACTGTCCTCGGAAGACATTCCTTCCCCGGGAGTTTTCAGCTTTGCATTCATATGTCCCTGCATCTTCCAGCTGCACATTCGGGATTTCGAGCACTGCTTGGGACTTCCGCAGGCGGGCTTTGCTCGGATTGGGGCCATTAACTTTCCTCCACGAGATTGTTGGAACTGGGCTGAAATATTTAGCGAAGGCATGATTAGCTCTTCTTTGCCATTAAGAATATAGATCCCGTTACCTGCTAATTTAAGCACTTAATCGTCTAAGCAGCAATAAAGTGTAATCACAATTAAGGCTCGTGAACTGCTTGATATATTTCACTTTCAGCTGAGAATATTTAACTAGTGCTGCTTCTGTCTTGGACACTTCCTGGTTTCTGAAAATTAAGTCTTTACCAGTGATTAAATCATAGAATTGGAAGGAAGATACCGTGTTGGAGAAAAAGCATGACTGCACCAAAGTAAAAACAGATGCAAACCTTTCTACTGATAACTAGGTTGCTTTCTCATCAGGGATTAATGATTAGGGGATCCCAGAAGATGCCAGACTGGCTACAATGTTGAGCTGAGTCAGTAGGCTGTAGAACAGGGACTACCTTTTCCACAGAAGAGTACCACCACAACAGATGTTTTGTGAGCCCTGACTTGCTCTGAGAAAATTACTAAGGGTGAGGGAAAGAAAAACTCCTTCCAGCCATGGTGCTTTCGTCCTCCCTTCATTCCACCTTTTTGCAGCTATGGTTTCTGTACTATTTAGGAACAGAATTCTTCTTATATTTGGAACCTTAGCAGTGGGACTGAGAGAGTTGCTCCCATTCAAATCCCTCTTCTTAGGTAGTAAACTGGGGACAGCCCTGTTGAATCCCATTTGGGGAACTGAGTTATACTGCTCTTCCACACAGTCTGGTTCAAGTGTTGAGAGGGTAAAGTATAAATGCATTTATAGCGGATGGTAAGAAGATCGGAAGGCACTTCTTTGTAACTTTTTTCTTTTCTTTTCTTTTCTTTTCTTTGTCTTTCTTTTCTACTTCTCTCTTTTTATTTCCTCTTAACTTACTTTTTACTTTTATTTATTCTTCTTATTTTCAACTTAAAATCTGTACTGCTTTTATCCTGTTGAAAACCTCTTTTATATAGATATAAGCAATCTGGTTCAAGTGTTGTCCTTGAGCAACAGACAAATATGCTTTTCCATGACCTCGTTTGCCGAACCCTATTGGGTCTTAATAATAAGGCTAGAGAGTAGTGTTATCCTTAGGCTTTGAATGTGGGACAAATTGATAAAAGCAATTGATGGATTCCCAAAATTCCATCTGCCCTCTTACCAAACACCAATTGCTTTCCTTTAGATGGGATGAGATGGGGCTGGGGAGGAGGTGAGTTTAGACAGGTGCTTAGAGAAGCAAATTTAGTCATCAGTCCAAACTTGCTTTTAGTGTTGTGTATGTTTTTTGTGGGTATGTTCAAAAGGAGTCCAACAACCAGCTAATATCAGCTGATTGCCAAGCTCCTTTTGAATGTGGGTTTAGTGCTACTTAGAACAGCACCAAACCCATACTTAAAAGTAGACTCAAAACACCCAGTAGGCATGGGGGAGGAGTAATTTCAAGAAGTAAGGAGCTGTCCAGCTGCAACTCCTTATGCTTCCACTTCTCTATTCTCTGCCACCCAGCTGCCAGAGCTGTTGGGGAAGTGGCAGGAGAAACTGGGAGAGAGGGGAGAACTGACTCTTTACCAGCTAGGCCTCCAGTTACATAGTCTCTATGTGACTGGAGACCTAGTGGTTAATGAGCTGTCTCTCCCAGAGCCTCATGAGATTTAATTCCCATTCTGTTTTTTTCTCCTATTGCTTTCTGTCCCCTCCTCACCTTCCAAAAACATGGGCAGAAGAACTTTGTTTTCTTTTTCTTTCTTCCATTCTCTGCACAAATTACTATGGAAACATGCACCTAACTTGTTGCCCAGTCAGTTTCAAACTGCAGTTGGCCTTTCTAAGTGTGAAAAGGGGATTACTTTCAAATCAGTAGCATGAAAAAGGGGACTACAGCTGTAGGGATCTGGAAACATTGCCTTTAAGCTGTACTAATGCCTGCAGAATGATTTCACCAATTTTACCCACCCTTTCTTGATACATATACACATTGTCTCTTTCTGTCTCTGTAGAGAGTAAAGAAGATGACCTTGATGGGGATATGCAAGATCTGTTACTAGGGTAACAAGGGGTAAATTCTGTCCCAACTGTTGTGTTAGTCGCATTATGGAATTTTGTAAGTTGATTATTCGTACATCCACATGTTGTTGATGTTGCAACAACACTGCAGCAAGGTATTCAGTGATGTGCCCTGAGGATCCAAGGCCATCTCCTGTAATAAAGGTGAGATCTTCAGCCTATCTTAAAAGATAGTAAGAGACTTGCAAGATTGATGTGAGCCCCATTAGATAGACCAGACCAAGAAATCAACTCCACAGGAAAGCTAAAATTAATTTTATTGATACTGTCTATGATAACAGAATCTTGCAAGTCTGCTTATGCTGGATCTCCTCCCCCTTCCTATACTTCAGTGAATTAGGGAGGCATCTGTCTGATCTACTTACAAATACCATCTGTCTGTTGCAGATTTAAAATATTTTTTACTCCTCATTACCCTAATAGCGGATCTTCCATATCTCCTTCAAGATCATCTTACTTACTCTCTACATACTCTCTCTCTCTTTTTCTTTAATATTTCTTTTCATCTGAAACAAAAGAGAAGTAAAACCCTTTGCTACACCAAGTGTCAAGAAGAAGGACCATTTCCAAGGAGATGCCCAGAACCACTACTTATTCATTTTAAATTGAGCAGGTTATTTACTGGTTGACTTTTTGTACTTATCCTTTTGCTCAGGCTATTCTTGTATCAGAAAAATGTGGCAGGCTTGGCTGGACTGGTTAGGTTCCTCTCAGTAGATGGCATTCATATAAATTAAATTTAAATTAAAAAAAAAAAACAAGCAACAATGGAAAGAGATGAGACACCAAACCTGGTGGAAGAAATATAATAGTTTGTTAGCCTGGCAGGCACTGCTGGAGAAAGGAAGAGCATGCCACAGAACTCAGGGAAACTGGCTGGGAAAGATGGAGGCTACAGGCAGAATTGGATTCAAGATGGGGTTAGCTTCAGCTGCTGCAAGAAGAGATAGGGGACATTCTGGGGCCTCAAAAGGGCCTCTGCATTCTGAAAGAAGCCCTCCTGAGGTTGCTTCTCCCCCTCTTCCCAGCTTCCTCTGTGGAAGTCGTGTCCCTAGTTTCTCATATATTCCAAATCATGGCAAAGGAAGGCAGTGAACAGTGACTAGAGAGAAGTGGCTAGCAGAAACTGAGCAGATCTGAGCTCCAGGCCACAACATCAGCATCATAAGTGAGGCACTGTACAGATAGTCCTTGGGTTATGATGGCAACTGGGACTGGCATTTCCATCGCTAAGTGATGTGGTCATAAAGCATGATGTCACATGACTGCATTGCTTAGTGACAGTAATCATCCTGGCAGTCCCTGTTGCTGTTGTTAAGCAAGGACCACATGGGTTATTAAGCGAGGGCTGGTGAGAAGAGGCAGGAGTCCAGGCAAACAGGCTGGTAGGTGAGAACCTCGGGCAGGAGGGTGCCTCAGGCAGGATCTATGGAGTGCAGGCAGATAGGTGGGTGCTGCGGCAAGGCAGGAGGGTGCCCCAGGCAGGCACTATGAAATGCGAGCAGGTTGGTACTGTGGGAGAGTGCTATGGAGTGCAGGCAGGTGGGTAGATGAGCAAAAAGGCAGCAGGAATGGAGCAACTTGCATGAACACTTTGTGACCTCCTGCCTTTGTTTGTGGGAAGCTGGCAGGGAAGGTTACAAAAGGCAGTCATGTGACTGCAGGATGCTGCAACCGTCATGATTGTGAGCTGGTTGTCCAGTGCCTGAATCACAATTAATGGCCACAAGGATGTTGCAATGGCTGCAGCTTTGAGCACTGGTCATAAGTCCCCCTCGTTCAGTGCCATCGTAACTTTGAATGGTCACTGAATGAGTGGTTGTAACCCAAGGATTACCTGTAGATCATATCCATGGCAAGACTTAAATTAAGAAGCAAAAGGGACAACCATACTTTTCAACTGGAACAACTAAAGATGATTGTATGCTAATTCCATGATGGGCTGGGGATGAGTCAAAGGCAACGTCACAATGCCATGACCTGATCCATGGTTAGCAAGGCCGCAGTTACTGCCCAGAATTGCTGGGAGTCAGACAGTATATTCTTCTTCATCATCATCATCATCATCATCATCATCATCATCATCATCCGGTGAGGCACTACCTTGATGTAGTTGTGGGGCTTATGTGCTCCAAGGGGGATGAAAGTTATGCCAGAGGTTCAACCATACTGGACAGGTCTCATCAGAGGATCCAGACGAAGAGTGTCTCTCCCATAAACAATATGGTAAGACGTAATTTACAGAAACCTATACCAGATCGGTCATCGCCTGGGTCAACAAGGACCACGCTAGGTGTCCTAGTTCCTAGATATCTGGTGACAAGTGGGCTACAGGACTCAAGACTGTTGGCTGAGCAGCCAGGGCCAGCAGCTGCAGGACTGCTGGAAGAAAAGTTGTTTACCTGTTGCAAATATATGAAGACTGAAAACAAAGAAATAATGATCTGTTATTAAAAATCAAGTCCAACGAGAAGAGGATATCTGAAAAGAATGCACCATTTCTGGAAAGAACAACATCCAGAATCAGAAATAACAGAACC